GTGCGATTTTTGCTTGCAGTCTGTTGTGTATCCTTTGGCTGAAAAGTCATAAAGAGGGAATAAAATGTATCCTTAAGATCCAGGATGATTTTCCTCCATACGCCTGTCGTCTGTCATCCTCATTCTCAGTACTGAGGGACACATTGCATACTGTGTTTTCACATCGGGTTACCACTGAATACAAATATATCCATCAGAACTGAGTAATACTCACTCAAAGTGTATGAGATTGTGCTGCCAGTAGATTTTGTGACTGTGTTAAAGGAGCAGATATACAGCATTAATGTAAACGAAATACAGGCATCTCCGATAACTGTTCCTGAAAATCCGTGAGTAATTACTTGACCTTACAGAGATAAAAACGGAGGAAACTATCTTATAAAATCAAGTAAATAATGTATGTGTAAAGACAGTATAAGTCAATATCTTGTTTCATCATGGGACCCTCATTTTCCCCAGCTGGCTGTTGGTTGATGGAATCTTTCTTTGTTTTATTTAAAGCACGTCACTTCTCTTAAAGAACAGGTTAAATGGTAGTCGTTTAGCATAAATTATTTTATGATATTCAAAAGGCATAGCGTCTTTTCCTCAGTTTTCCTTTCATTTTGCAGTTTTTTGTTTTTTTTTTTTAAATTCCTTTAAGACTCTTGACATATGCGGGCTCTGATGTGGAGCGACCCCTAAATGGTACTGTCCATGGTGCTGAAACCAGCCCACTCCTTTCATATTCCCTTTCTCGTCACTGCGGTGCGATGGAAATATTATAAGGAGGAAAATACACACCTCTCTGTAGTTTTTGTTGTTGTTGTTGTTGTATGTATTTGACTACAGCCTGGAATGTTTCTTTGTCTCTCATCGGAGTGTTCCATTTAAAGCTTTGGTAATACCAATATTTTGCTCACAGCGTCGCTGTCTACCAGCTTTACTTAGTGGTGTCACATTAACACACACTAACACATTTCGGAATCAAGACAGATTGCTCGCTGGTGAAAGCATCGAAGTCGCTACATATATAGTCGGACTAAACTCGTCCTCTGAGGAAGATACTGTTTGGCTGACTGGGTATTTTTATTTTACAAGTCCTAGTGTTGGTGGTTTTGACACGGGCCTTTCAGGAAAAATGGGACACAAAGCGTTTTCAGCGCTCGGCCTTGTTGCCTCCTTGGGATTATTTCTCGTACTGTCGCAAACCGCGTTTGGAGATGTGTCTTTTTCCGTTCCAGAAGAGATGAAGCAAGGCTCCGTTGTTGGAAATATAGCAAAAGAAATAGGACTTGATGTGGGCAAATTGGCTGCTCGTAAGGCTCGCATTAATACAGACGGGAGCAGTAAACGATATTGTGACATTAATCTGAATACCGGAGATATCATTGTTACCGACAGAATCGACAGAGAGGCGCTTTGTGGCAAAAAAGCATCTTGCGTTTTAAAACAGGAGCTTGTTTTAGAGAACCCTTTAGAGCTTCACCGCATCACCGTTCACGTTCAAGATATCAATGATAATTCACCACAATTTAAAAAGAAGACGATCAAATTTGAAATCAGGGAGTCAGCCAACAAAGGCAGTCGTTATCGCTTAGATGAGGCCCATGATGCAGATGTCGGACAAAACGCTGTTCAGGGCTACAATATCGAGGCAAACGAAAATTTCAGAATAAATGTTGTTGCAAAAAGCGGAGGAGGAAAATATAGTGAGTTAGTTTTAGAGAAGGAGCTGGACAGAGAACAACAGCAAGAGCTAACAATTGTGCTTGCAGCAACAGACGGGGGCACACCTCAGAGATCAGGTACTGCAGTTATTCATGTCACTGTACTGGATGCTAATGATAACGCTCCGGTGTTCAGTCAGGCCGTTTATAAAGCCAGTCTGCCTGAAAACTCTCCTTTAGATACTGTTGTGGTCACAGTGAGCGCTACTGATGCAGACGAGGGAATAAATGGAGATGTAACATATGAATTTGATCATATTTCAGATGAAAATAATAACGTGTTTTCCCTTGATCAGACAAGTGGTGAAGTGAGAGTGAGTGGGTCGTTAGATTATGAGGAGTTATCTACCTATGAAATGCAAATTGCAGCCAAGGATGGTCTTGGATTGGTGTCATCCTGCACATTAATAATTGACGTCACAGATGTCAATGACAACGCTCCCATAACATCAATTATGTCTCTGACAAATCCAGTACCAGAAAATACACCTCCTGGTACAGAGGTGGGCATCATCAACGTGCAGGACAGAGACTCTGAAA